AGTGACATGTAAAATCAAAACATGTCGCGTTGTTAATGTTTTGATCTCTACTCTTCTTTTTAAAAAGCGTTTGACAATGGTTTTTTATGTATGATTTAGAAAAAAATTTTGCAATAAGAATTACTACGGCTGTAAACAGTTGTTAGCTATTTTTCCTCCCTTTTTCAACATGTGGCAGTAAGTAGCAAGTTTGGGGACAGGATCAAAACATTAACAACGCGACGTGTTTTGATATTACATGTCACTATCACACGCGATGTTTGACTTCCGCGACCCCGGAGTGCAATGTGAGAAGTGAAAAATCAGTTACTGTGCCCAGTAGGCTAAATGCTCCAATTGTCCTTTGACGGTTGAACAATTTGACCCTGCCAGCCCGCGACGGTTTGAATTGTCGACGTGACGGTTGGAGTTCGTTGCGGGTCTGCTCTCGACTCGCCTCACCTCAGCCGTGTATTGCCCACTTCGTTGGCGATTCAGGACCTTCGAAATGGGAATTTTGGCGATGTGAATGATGGAAAATGTGCGTTATTTATCAAGACATCTGTTTCCGGCGGAATTGTCTCCATGTCGCAAATGTCACGGAATTTATCGCCGCCGAGAGCGGAGCCGGTCAAGAGAGGTTTGCCAACCTTCTCTTCTCTTCTCTCTACTGTCATCTGGGTGAAAAACTGTCGCTCAAAAAAAGGCCTTAAACAGTGCCTAGGAGGTCTGAAATGCAGTCAGAATACAAAGAAAAACAACAAGACGCTAAAGGTAAGCTTCAAAGCGATATTCAACGTACATTTTGCTAATTTAGTGAGCAAAGAATATTTCTCCATACAACGTCTTATAATTTTCTTGCTGTATGAATAATTAATTAGCTAAGTAGGATAATGTTGTTCAGGGCTCTCATAGTGAGCTTGGGCTACCTGTGGTCTAAGCAGAAGAATAAAAGGAGGGGGGCATTGGGGTATATTAGAAACCGCAAAACCGAAAAAAAAAATCATCCAAAACCGCAAAACCGCAAAACCGCAAAAAAATTCGGCCAAAACCGAAAACCGCATACAAAACCGTCAAAAACCGATACAATGGTGACAAGTGGGGCATACAGAGCAAACTAAACTAACACTAATTTCACCAAAGTATTTGTGAATGTCATGGACTTTGTCTGAAGCCTTCGTATCTTTTTGTGTCTGCTTAAATCATAGGCTTTGTTTCTGCCGCTCTCTCGAGCCCAGACTTTGCGGCTCAATTTCCGAAAAGCCGCTAGTTATGGAGCCTAGTTAACTTAGGAGAATTTGCACACAAGTCCTCTTTAGAATTGCAATTTTGCAGTCGCAAAAAGCTATAGCTCTGGAAACTTCAATCGAAAATCTCTAATCGAACATTTCCATTTGATAGCTAACACCTGAAAGTTTGGAGACTCGATTGTCTAACATTGCACTGAGCTGAGTCGACACTGAGGAAGCTAACCGGTACAATTACTTCCTTTTCAGTTTTACATGGCAGCAGGAACTTGCTCTGAGGTTTAATGTGGTAATAAACAGATACTCAAAAAACCAGTCGATTATTGAACCTCACTGCCCTTCCAAAAACCAAAAACCACATCGGGTACCAAAACCGAAAAACCGCTAGTATTTTTCACGAAAACCGAAAACCAGATGCTAAAAAACGAAAAATCCGCAAACCGCAATGACCACCAAAACCGAAAAACCGAAGTCTTTTGCAACAAAAACCGAAAAACCGATCTAAAAAATAGCCAAAACCGCAAAACCGAAAATCCCAATGCCCCCCTGAAAGCGATTTTTATAAGGCCAAGAGCATGGAGCTACTTTTAAAGTCTACAATTCACTCAAACAACAGAGAAAATACTGGGAATTTTTCTTCGTTGAAATTAAAGAATGCCGCTAATAGCCCGGCTATACAACATCAGCCAAAGAGCCGGTCTTCTACACTTCAAAGGCTCCTCCGCGAACTACAATGCTACATGACCGCAAATTTGCATGGCTCTTCGGAAAAGTACGTGACTTTTAAAAAAAGAACTGTTTTGGGGTGTTACGAAAACTAAGACCCTCGAAAACTAAGACCTAAGACCTAAGACCCGTCTTAGTTTTCGAGATTACGAAAACTAAGACCCCCTAAAATCGAATCCGTCGATATATAAAGTCAAATTGTAACCGAAATAGGTCTGATCTGTCAAATTATATCATGTTCGATCCTTTCCACCGAGTTTTAGGTCAAATTTAGCGGTAAATTTAGGGGTCTTAGTTTTCGTAATTTCGAAAACTAAGACCCCTCTTAGTTTTCGTAATTACGAAAACTAAGACCCCCACCAAAACAATCTCTAAAATTTCTACAAAGTCGAATTACGACCGTTTGAAGACTATAATCCGTAAGACAAACAAAAACTACTATCATCCGCGTGCTGATCTACCATCCGCTAACAATTTGAAGACTCGCTTTAAAAAGAGGACCAAAGCCATAGACTTCCTACGGATCTATTGTTCACTGAAAATATGCCTTACCCCTATTGGTCTTTAATTTTGTTGTTTATCCTTTAAATCATGTAATTGGCTTTCCACTGGAGATGGATGTGTTTCCGGGAATCCTGACCTCTGGCAACCTACTGTCACGCAATCTTCACTTTGTATTGATTGTTTGTTTATTTTATTGTTCTGAAATTAGAACTCCAATTCTCGAGACGATGCTTTGCTAGTACAGGAAATTCATTCACTCATTCGTTTTTTTAATTATTATTTCATGAGTGATTTTAGCGATTATCCCTCACAGACTATTTCTCCTTGCTCCCCACCCCTACCCCTCAGCTACCTTTGCATTGTAACCCGGTGATCTCCGGGGTGGCAACGATAAAAACAAACGCTAGAGAAACGCAATCATGTAGCATATTCTCCTTTTTTCGCCCTTTTTATAAAAGTACTTTCCTATCTATGACCCGGCCAGAAAAGGAAAAAGAGATCTGTATTTTTGTGTGATGTTTAACCGATAACGCCGTTGACCACTTAGCGATCAGGCATCGTCGTGAGAGACCTCTGCTAGCAGGGAACTAAGACCCCTAAATTTACCGATAAATTTGACCTAAAACTCGGTGGAAAGGATCGAACATGATATAATTTGACAGATCGGACCTATTTCGGTTACAATTTGACTTTATATTTCGACGGATTCGATTTTAGGGGGTCTTAGTTTTCGTAATCTCGAAAACTAAGACGGGTCTTAGGTCTTAGGTCTTAGTTTTCGAGGGTCTTAGTTTTCGTAACACCCACTGTTTTGTGTGTGCCATCTCCGGTTGGCTGGCCCCGTATGCCACAGGCTTTTCTAAAATTAAATTGTAATTTTTGTAATTTTTTCACCCACGGAGCACTAAGGAGTTCATAAGAACTCGTTGAAACGTGTTCGTGCGTTCCAGATCGAATTGGAATTTGAAAGTGTTGGTTTTCAAGGAGAGGGGAAAACCGGAGTACCCTGAGAAAAACCTTTCGGACCAAGGGAGAGAACCATGGCGTCGAGCCGTTAGTGGGGCATGAACGGACAAGCGAGAAGTGCGAGAAGGGATAGCCTGCGCGCAGACGAAATTAAACTCTGGTTAACAGAGTTTAGTTATCGTCTGCACGCAGGCTAGAGAAGGGAGTGATGGGAAATATCTCCCCCAAAAACAGTGATCGCGAGCGACTGGAGACGAAGCAGGGGAATGGCCCACGCCGTATCTTTTATCGGGCTGACTTTGCCCATTCCTTTGTCTCATAAAATTTGAGTTGTGTTTATTTGAGGCAGGCTGGCTTGCTTTCCAAGACACAACCAGGATCTCGCTAAGCGGGCTACATGTAGCCTTTTTTAAAATTATGACAGTAAACCGATCCTTACGGCAGGAAAAATGACGATAGGAAAAATAATGAAAGAAAACAAAACTAGCATGGTGAGTTATATTTGCCTGATATTTGTGTTCTTTAAGATCTGGCTGACCCTCACTGGTTTGTCGTTGTGGTTGTGCCTTCACTAGGGAGTTTCCACGGGTAGCCAAACCTCGGCCACACATCGGCACTGTTGCATAACGTCCAAATTATAACGACTTGTATGGGAGAAAAAGCATTTGTTTCTGTAGCCTACGAATATAAAAGGATTCAAATAAAAATCGGCTAACCTTGCTCAAGTTGTGTTTCTTCTTTCCTCTGTGGTTTCCGAAACGATTTATGGCCATTTAATGGTTCTTATTGGAACCGGTTTACTATTTGGGCGCTTATTTGAGTTTGAGTGGGAGGGGGAGGGGGATGGGCGCTTATCAACTTTTTATGCCTTTAGCTTAGTCAAGGTCGACGCTAATTCGAGGATAGCCGCTTATTCAAATAAATACGGTAGATCCATTATAAAACTTAGCTTAAAAAAGCCTTTTAACAGATTATTTTTAAGTATAACTTAGCTGTATAGACTATCGATTTCTCAATTTTTTTTTTCAGCTTAATTTGCTTGTATAAACGTTTTAAAATAGCTTTTTAAACAGATTAATTTGTAAGTATAACCTAGCTGTGCAAATATTAGATTTTAGAATTTTTAATTTTTTTCTTTACTTGGATACAACTGTACTTTGCGCTTGCTTCTTAACATTTCAATGTAACGTGTGTATTTAATAATAATAATAATAATAATAATAATAATTATTATAATTATAATTATAATTATAATTATAATTATAATTATAATTATAATTATAATTATAATTATAATTATAATTATAATTGATCCGAAGTTTGGTGTTACGAGGTATTCGAAGTGTATACTTGTGGAGGAAAAAACCGCTCGGCCACACACGCCCCCACAAGTATACCGTAGGAACGACTGATTAATATTAAAAATAGCCTGCGAGCTAAAAATCGTAAGAAGGACACGCGCCGAGAAGCACGCGAGAGGATACGTGACAGCGGGGACGCCCCTCGCTGGTTCGCCGCTTACTCGGAGAGCTTGCTCGCAGGCTATATTACCAACTGAGTACATTCAATCGTACGCCCTCAAGCACATCTGTGTTTTCTCCAAGATATTCCGTTGGTAGCGTATGGATGTGTTTTTCTGTTCTGTGCCATCACATACCAACAATCGACAAGTTCTTGCTCATACTTAAAATCAATCTTCTGCGTAAATAACATGTTTTTAAGGTCAGAACCAAACACCCAGCTCAAATCTGGTAATCTCAACACACATATCGCACGGAGCCAATAGCCATAGCAGGGAGTTTTATTATCGGGGATCCACCAATTAACCGCATCCCGTGTGATGAACTCCTGTTGCTCCGGCCAGGGCACTCCCCCTGGCACGCCCGGGTGACGGTACAGAGTAGTAAAAAACGATTCATCAACATACATAGTGTCGTTTAACCAATTTAAGAAAGCTTTGGCTGTTTCATTGTGAACAGCGTACTCGCAGAACTCTCTGGTTCCCGCAATGAAAGACGACCCCTTGTACATTTCAATTCCGTGCGGAGGCGGGGTTTTCTCTTTCTTTGTATTTGTCCATTGATAGGCGCCATGACCCTGTTTTCCAGGATCTTTTTTCACTTCATACACGTGGACTGTTCGCCACCGTGTGTATCCGTTTGGCTTGCAACTTTCTGCATTCGTTCGCCCTTTTAAGGCTTTTAGCGCCTGCACGAGACCTTGATTGGAATATAAGGGCAAATCTTGACCACATAAATTAAACAAATAACGCCAACGGACAGAGCTTTGGAGCAAGTCCTCTATGCAGTTTAATTGAGCTCGAACTGTAGAAACATGAAGATATATAACTTCTATCCTCTTCTTTGTAACAAAAACATTTGGCAAACATCTTGCGATTTGCTGTATAGCGCGCACAAACACTAGAGAAGATTTAGTATCGATATTGATGCAATAAATGTTTTGAGGCATATAAATAAACTGAAGTTGTTTTACAAACAAACTTGCCCCTTGGTAAAGTTGTAGCACATATGCCAAAGGAAAATTCCGCTCCTCGTCACTTGGTTCAGAGGGCGGAGAAAAAAGTGCTGAAATTTGTCTACAGTTGAGCTGAGAGAATGTTTGGAGAATCTGGTAGTCAGAGATCTCTTGAAGGGTGGTTTGAACTGGGTGTGTGCCGTTGCTGATTAGAGAGAGGTCCTCCTCGATTCGACGAGAACAATACTCTTCGGACGGGAACTAAACACAGAAGATAAAACAAAAATCTTTATCCAGTCCATAACTAGACTCACTGAAAGGCGACCTTTACTGGGCTGCCATAAAACTGGGACCAATGTAGGTTTCTGGAAAACTGCCTACCTACCCCTCCCCTAAGCCATCATTTTGCCCTCAGTGAGAAGTAAGTGTTTATGTTAGCTTAGGGGAGGGGTAGGTGGGCAGTTTCCCTGAAACCTAAAGTTATCCAAAACTGTGCAGCAGCCCCCTCTCCTCAGAAAAAATCGCTCCTTCTCCGATTAGATAAAGACAATGGAGACACATTTCCACATTTCCACTCGTCCAGAGTTAGCAACGAAAAGTACTCGAAGACATTATAGTGCTTTCATGTCATCGCATACATTTGTCTCTATTACGACTACTGTTGCATATATTTGTCATAAATTAACGATAATGTGTCTCTTTTGCCCAATCCATTCTGATGACGCGTTCTTTGCTCTTCTACCCGAGACAAAAGCCAAACTTTCAAAGTTCTCGTTTGTCGAAACTCGCTAATGCTTTAAACATCAATCGCACTGGTTGAATTGGCGGAGATACATAAATTAGGAGAAGCATAACAGTCGATCCCGCATACTGAATTTAACGATACCGACAAACAAAAGCAGAAACTCTGGGCCACATAAGAACAACTGTAAGTTCTAAGTCACCAAACCTTGTACTAGTAAGTAACTTGCCTTAGTACTCTATTTCTCTCAAGTTGGTATTTGAAGCATACGGTGAACCTTACTCTCCCTAGCAACCGTTTTTTTGGATGTCACGCAACGGAGCGTTGCGTGACATCCAAAAAAAAGACTGCGAGGGAGACTAGGTGAACCTTTGCGTTCGCGAAGCTGCGAAGCCTGGTACCAGGTATCCTCGGAGACCCAGGGGACACCCTAACGGAGACCCTGGGGACACCTTTACCCTTGTTTCTCGTTTCTGCGGACACGAACAACGTGGAATGGAGCAAATTCGCATGACGTCGTGGCGGCCATATTGGGTTCCAAAACAATGAAACGACGTCCATGTTGGTGTCCTGTGAGAGATAAACCTTTTTCTTATGTAAATACTTCCTACTGTTCCTATACATTTGCATAGATGCTGGTCACGTGAGTGAAAACGCTCTATATCGGACTTTTTTTAAGAAACAAAAACATTTTTCTTGGAGGTATTTACTCGAAAACTGCGCCACTTCACGCGCCCCGAACTAGAGACACTACCCTCAAATAAGACGCTGCACCTTAATTTAAAGTGGAACGAAAATTTTTAAGGGATACACTGCTCTTTCGAGTGAATACGGAAGCGATTTATACTCACTTTTTTATGCGAAGGAGATAAAAATTCCTTGGGAAGTGACAAGAAGTGGTCATCATCTCTCGTGACCGTTTTTATGACTTTTATAACATACAAATGAAACAAGATAACGAGCATCAAAGCCCCAACCAGCCATAGGATGTTTCTGCGACAAAGCTTTAGCGTAAATGCAGATCCTCTTGTCATTCTGTAAGGATATACATAAAACGAATGCTATAAGAGCTTGTTGTCTGACTTACCGTATTTATTCGAATAAGCGCCCAACCTCGAATTAGCGCCCACCTCGAATAAACGCCCATACTAAAGGCAGAACCAGTTAATAAGCGCCCACCCCCTCCTCCTCCCAATCAAGTCAAATAAGCGTTTACCCCCACCCCACCCACTTGAGTGAATAAATTCTAATAAGAGGACGGAGTTTTCTTCAAAGTATTTTACAGAAATCTTGCTTTGTTACTTCTTCGCGTTTTGTTATTAGCATTTATTGTTTTACATACTTCACTTGCTGAAAAGGGTCAAAATTTAATAAGCGCCCACCTCGAATAAGCGCCCACCCTCAAGGTCCAAAAATTTAATAAGCGCCTAGGGCAGTTAATCGAATAAATCAACCATTTTGACTTTGATATAATACAATACAATACAATCGTTTATTTACCCACGTATCGTGTCTATCGTCCAATGAGCTGATAAGCTCGTTCTAAATATAAACATAAACTGAACATTGATATGAACATAGAAGAGATACGCAATTGTAACCATTTTACCGAAAGCAACTGAAAAGTAGATTGTTAGGGGCGACAAGGAGCCCGCAAACTATTCTCGGTCAGCGGTACGTTATAAACGGTAGGATATGGTCCACATTATTGGGATGCCCGGTGTGTTCTGCTTACTAATATGCCTGGTATGTGGCCGCGAAGACCCTGGTTTTGAGTTGAAGGTCCATCTGATGTCACGGTAATTACGTGAATGCAAATGCAAGCGATGCAACAATATTTGTTCGATTCGAAAACGCACGTAAATTCAGGTAAATGGCAAACGTAGAGTACTAAATGCGAGACTTCTCGATTCCCCTTGCCGGCCTGAAATGTATTTACATGTACCAAGGGAAATGAAGAAGAACCTGATCTCGGCTTAGGGGCGGAGCATTAGAAATAACCGGATTGGGTGTTGGGTGGCTGGGGGGAAGGGGGCGGGGTATGAAAATTTTTCGCGCACGAATTTTTTCTTTCATGAGCCCAATGTCTGTAGGATTTTTTTCCTTAGGCCTAAGCTTTGCACGAATTTTTTTTTTTCAAATATGTCTTCTTTTGCAACTCATCGAAAGATTAACGTGACATTTTAAATCAGTAACATATTCTTTCATTCATTTCGAAGATATCTTCGGCTCTAAAGATTTAATGACCAACAAGTGCAGTTTCCATGTTCAGTGCAAAAAGTTTAGTTTCAGAAAATTTAATCAAACTTATAAAATAGCGTAAACTCAAAAAAGGATTTGAGCTAATTTTGAAAAATAAATAAATATCGTAATTAAATATAAGTTTTCTGTGAAAGGTTCCTTGGATAATTGTTTTGTTCCTAGCAACGCTAAAAAATTTTAAACGCCGCTAGATTTCAAAGAAAGACAAAGTACAAATTAAATAACTTGTTCGAAGTACACAAATATTCAAAAGTACTGCCAGCAAAATTTAGAATTGTTCCCGCAAAATTGGTTACCCAAACTGTGCTTTTCCCTCCCAGCAAAACGTCTCTTTGACTGAAACATCGGCTTATTGTTAGTTGTTTAACCACAACTTTACGAAAAGGCAGAAAATACTTCAAATTATAATATAATTTTGACATCTCGCATGTAATTACCAATACCTTATTATACGAAATAAACGCTTCATGAAATTATATAGGCGAATTTGTTAATTTAAGTTGCGTTAATTTTTGTTTTAACGTTATAATTTCTGCGCCATTAGTTAAGTGGAAAGTTGATTTATGCTACCTTATTTTCCATTATTTTGACCCCAAATTTTCGATACACTCTAGAAATTCTTGACACCAAGGAAAAGGAGCATTTCGTGATGTTGGAACACTAGTCCGCCGATCGACGAACCTTCTGAGTGGCTGATTTCTTCGCTCAAACCCCTGCGTTACGGATAGCCTACTAGGTACCACGAACTGTGCTTTGCATTTTAGATTGTCCATTTTAATCTGTTACTGTTGTCTTATATCGTAATATTAATAATTTTTTTTTTCAGTGTACAGCGCCACTATTTCCTTGATTTTGAAATGTTTCTCTCTCTCTTTCTCGGCGTTTATATAATTTCCATTTTTTGAAAGTGATTTTCCTTCAGTTCAAGTTAATTAAAACCGCGTTAATTTTGAGATACCGTAATTAACACAACCGTTAGATCCCTACAATGAGAGTTAAGACACCATGAACTAAAGAAGCTAATACCCGAAAAGCAGATATCTCCTTGGCTAGTTCCGGCCGAATTTCACCTTGTTCCATCGTCTGTTTGTTTTTTATAACCCAACCATAAAGTTTGAATTGATTAATTAGAAATTTTTGAAAAGTTGTTTTGATCGGGTCCATCCGTTGACGATAAAAAGTTAATGACAAAAGTCGCCATAAAGTGAAGGATGATAATTAAAAAACGGATACTACGAACATCCGAAAACTAAACTTAATATAGAATGGTAAATCATTAGAGACTTTGCGAGAATCCGGTTTCCAAATTCGAGACCGAGACTTAAAAAAAATTCGAGACTACGAGACGCAAAATACCCCGAAAGCGAGGCTTTGAGACCCATCACAAACGCCTCCGAAATTTAGAGATCGGGCCAAAATTTTCCAAGACCTACGTTTTTCAAGGAACAATTCTATAACTAAAAGGGATCTTCGTACTGAGTTTCTTAAAAACCCGGAAGTAACTAAGTGTTAAAATACAAATTGATCGAACTCGACAAATGACGAAAAGAGAAAGTAAATGAAGGGAAAAAAAATGAAAGAAATTTAAACCTCTTTTTCATAGTACTCTCTTTCAAAGTCACTACTTACCTCCTAATTGTGATGATGGCCCACCAGCTTTGCGAGAAATCCGAGAGAAACAAAAAAAGCGAAAGTCGGGCCTACACAGGCAAACTGTGTTGAGAAAACCAGTCAGGTTCATTTAATAACTGTGGCTGTTCTTTAAAAGCAATTTTTATTTAAATGCATTATTATGCAAAAGTTAAATATTTATTTATCCTCCCTAAGAAAATGAAAGGAAACAAATTATGTTTTGATAATAACTTGATGAAAATCGCAAAATGACCTTCGCGGGTACTCTGCGAAGCCTTTCACTTTCAGAAACAAAGACAAACCAAACAAAGTAACCATTTGAACATTTATACTTACTTCAAGAGAGGTTGTTGATTTCTTCTTGTTCTTCAAACGCTGAGAGCTCTCAATTAAACACCACTTGATCATAATTGGAGACTGCAGATGATTTTTACTATTTCTCTCAGTGTATCCTCTCAGCTGCACAAATATTTAACTCCCATCACAAGGCCAACTTTTCATACACGTCTCCTAGCTAAAATAGAACTGAAGAACTACTTTTAAAATTAAGAGGCATGTAAGGGAGTATAATTTTGCAGTGCAAACTTCTTTGTTTTCCTCTCGACAAGCAGCTCCAAAGAACCTCTACTTTCATTGGTTATCCATAACACGTTGCTCCATTGTTTTAGGGATAGAGTCATTGTTATGCTTATATGTCTATTGTTTTCACAGCCAATCCTGTGAGGCCTTGTAAAGAGCTGCGTTCCGCGCCTTCATTAGCCACATTGGGTCTTCGGTGCGTTTGACTGTTTATACGTGTCTCGGTATTAAAATACATGGCGGGACCATGTAAAGATCACCGCAATATCCCCTAGGAACTAAAAGCCTGAACTCAAGCGTACGTCTTTGCAGCAGTTTGAGTATCTTATATACTGCCGTTTGGAATAGGGTTTGGGACAAAAGAGGTCTACGATTTACGTTCAGAATGATCAGCTGGTTTTAAGCAGGATCCATCCCTCCTCCCTTAGGATATTCTAGGATTTGAAAGAAGTTCAACAAGTGTGATAACTTGCATTCCCTTGTATGTGCCACCGAATATTTCACACGAAGCGATTTTCAATTAACTTTCTAAACGTAAGTTTCTTTTTGCCTTTGTATTGCATTATTAAACGACTTCTGATTGGTTAAAAAAACATCGCGCCACTTTCTCCACCAATCAGAAGCAGGAGCCGATTTCGTATCAGAAGCAACATGCAAAACAGTCGTGACTTGCTCGCTCGTGTTTTCCCGCGCTCGGCAGCGTACACTGCCGCTTACAAGCCCTGGGCTTTTATCTCGCCCAAAGGGGGTTTTAGGAGGGGCTTATATCTGAGGGCGCATGTAACCGGAATATAAAATGTACTTCGAAACGAGCTATAGAAGTGATAATCAAAACGTTTTGCAATGACTGGTTTTTAATTAAGCTTCACTTGAACGTCATAATAAATTGAATTCAGAGGGGGGCTCAGTTATAATCGGAGCATGGGAGTAGGGTTATATCCGGGGGGGGGTTTCAAAGTCCCCCGGGAGCTTGTATGTTTTGTTTACAGGTAGATGGGCCCATAACTGAGCGGACTTATAAGTGGGGGGAGGGGGATTAAAGCGGCAGTTTACGTTATTTGCTTCCCTTCAAGTCACTGGTCAACGCCTTGAATTTCAAAGTGTTCATTGTGTTCAATAAAGACCCTCATAACTTCAAAATGGCTTAAGTAATTGCTCATAAAGCCGCCTGCATAAAAGGCGATAGAATGATCAAGATGTAGGGGATACCCTACCCCCCCTTCCCCCACTCCCCACGAAACGAAAATAGCACACGCAACGGAGAGATCGAGGAATGCGTCTTTCCTCACGCGCCATCGCGTATGCGCGCACTCGATTTTCTCTCCGTCTTTTTCTTTCTTTTTGGCATCTATCGAAAGTCTTGATCGCCAGAAAAAGACAATAATTCTTAGGAACTCGGAAAACCTTTTCATTTTTTTTCATTTTGTATCAGGAATATAATTAGTTTAACACCTTCAAAAACACACTTTGATTTTGCCACCTGAGAAATTCAATTTTACTATTCTTTTTATGACTTTTCTGGTCTTCCTATGACGGAACGAGCCCTGAATTAAAGGGAATACACCGAGACAACCCTTGCGAGACCAACAGATATCTAGAGAAACCTGACAAAACCAACTTAACATTTGGTAACATTGACGATTGACAGCCCTTCGGCCGTCTGTCGGTAGACTGTCGACCAACAGTCGGCGAATAAACGACCAACAAGCAGCCGACAAATGGGAAACTGTAGAGAAAAGTGTTATTATAGTTATAATAACTGTCGGTTAACTGCCATTCACTTGTCACTTTACCTTTTCAACGTGTTCCCTATTTACAAACTAAACATGGTACATTGCTTTAAAAAGGCTTAACCGCTATGTCTACTGTTTTCGTATAATTAATTATTTATTCAATCAAATTCCGAACAACATTACTTTTCACAAGACAATGAATGCCAAAAATGACCTGGCTTTAGATTCAAACGGTGAATATTTCGTAAGGTTAACTGACTTTTAAAAATGTCAAAAATGAACACAGTGTGACCGTTTTCAACGCGGTCATCACTCTTCTTCTAACCCCATACTTTGCTACGAGAATATACTGCAAAACAGTCCGTATTTTTACGTATTCAAGTACGCGCGAACAGTCAAACAAAAGGTCTGGGGCGAGGCTAAAAACGAGAGCGAGACTGAGGAATGACGCTAAAAATACGCTCGCCTTACCCTGGGTACCAGAGGTTCTTCTCGCGTGTGGCGGGAATTTTCGGTGTTGGCCGAAGGCCGACACATCTTCGGCCGTGTGGGCTCGGCTTTCTCCCTCTTCGAGGAGCAGGTACAGGATTTGTCGGCGTACTGCCACTTGCACTCGCTTTCGATCTTCCAGAAAACACTACATTGCACAGGGAAACAACGCTCAAGACTGTTTTGGAATTACTGGATACAGAGTTCACCAAAAGATTCGAAGCCAAGTGCAGACAATAACACGCACTATTCTCTCGCGAAATCAATCTCCGGGTGTATCAAATTTGTAAAGAGGGTGGCGTTGTGAATGGATTTTTGACAGCTCGATGACATTTTTGAACTCCTAGGTCAGAACGAATCATTGCATGGAAAACGAACAGTCGTTTTTTGTCTCTCGCTCTCTCCTCCGCAGAGGCTCCCGCTGGGTATTCCTGTTGTAGTTAATTTTTTATCTCAGGTAATTTTTCTTTTTCTTTTGTTGAAACGCCATTAGCATACATTAACATACCCAAAAACAAAAGAAAAATAAAAATTACCTGAGATAAAAAATTAACTACAACATTCCTATAAAAATAGAAAATAATAGAAAATATGGAAAGCGCGCGGGGGACCAACACAAACAGGCCTCTGCGGAGGAGAGGGTGTCTCTCGCCTCGCACGCACTACAAGCGTGTGAGGCTCGCGCGAGAGCGCGAGACTGTTAACGCTATTCTTACCGTATGCTAAACCGATTTTGAAAAAAACAAGGACAGTTTTGCAGTCTACTAAGAGAAGAACTTAACTCCGAGTCCACTTTCATCAGTTGCATCAGGAGCCTCGAACATTTGGGCCTTTCCTTTGGCTTCAAGTTGACTTAAAGCTTTCTTTAACATCCACATATCTATTCCATAGAATTCTGCCAAGAAGATCAAGCAATGATGTGGTTAGAAACAGACATGCCAGCCTTCGGAGGTTAAAAGACTCAAGGCTTCAGAGGGTTTGCGTACACAGCGTGCAAAGACAGTAGTGTGCAATAGATGTAGCCCAGGAATAGTGGATTTTACTATTAGGCAAGTGAATTCTGTTCTTAAATTGCCAAACGGGAAAGTGACGTTTTTTGGGAATTCAGTTTAAAGAAGAACTGTAATCAATCCTGCTACATGTAATCCGAATTTTTTTTCAGGCTAGGAAAACTAACTTTTGGGCTAGTGCATGTTACAACCCCAGAAAAAACCTTTTGAGACACATTACAAAAATACCTATTTCTTGCACTCGTTTGACAAAAATGCTTACCGTCGCAAATTAAAAGACCGTTTCCCCCCTCCCCTATTGCAATGTTGTTTGCGGTAACACAAGAAATGCACATGTAAAGTGTTAGGCCAAAACAACATTGCACAAGGGGTAACGAGAGGGGCGACTTCGTTCCGTTTTGACATGATAGTTGTGTGGGCACGAAATTGAAAGTACAAGGAATGGCTTCCTTTGCACTCTGCATACACCCTGCAGGACGTTCCACTAAACGACTCCTATAAGATTCCATAGTAAACAAATGCAGTGTTTCTTATAGACTCTATGTCTGTGTATATGTAGCTTTTGCAGGTCTTCGGTAAAGCATTGCTAGATACAAAAGGTCATCTCAGTTTTACGTTCATGGTAATATTTGGTGGATATTGTTTTAAAAAATTCACCAAAAAATCAGTAATGATTCTTACATCCTTGGATAAATCAAACATGAGGACTCAAGATAATTTCTCTTCTCAAGATTATTTTAAAAATAGCCTTAAGTTTATAATAATAAATAAAAGAGACAATTCAATCAACTAACCTTCATTTACAGTGTCATCACCAGCTCTTAACTCAAACAATGTACACACTGTGTCTGTCATTCCATTTTCCTGCACCTACACAACAAAGTGATTTGTTATATAGCTGGAAATTTCTCCCCAACAGCACGTGCTCTCATTGGTTACTTCGAGGTCACATGACATCTAACAATGAAGCTTTTTCCTGCCAAAATCGCTGAGCAGGCAACATTGCAAAATCTATGACATTAGAGGGTAACAGTGTACTGTTAACTGCGAATGTTGACTGACAACCATCATTACAGCAAGGTTTAATGAATTTCCAGCTTCACATTTTCCAGCTACAGTGGAACTTCGATATAATGAACCTCTATATAACGAAGTCCTCAGTATAACAAACGATTTTCTTTGCCCCAGTTTTAATAAAATGCAGTATATGAAAAAGAACCTTGATATAACAAAACCTCCTTTTTGCACGCACATTTTGCCAGTCTCTTAAAGACTAGTCCCTCAGGAAACCGTTAATTTTGTTTCTGTTGAATCTCAAAGTTTCCCTTGGTTCTGCCTTGGGAAACATTGAGATTTTTCTGGAAACAAAATTAACTGTTTTTAATCATGTTTTTTACAGAAGGACTGTTTTCGCCAGTAAGGGGAGAAATATGATAGCTTTGGCATTCATGCATTTTACCATTTCTTACCCATTTAAATATCATAGATGCCCATTCATCAGGTGTCCTCCACATGATAAAGCATCTTTGTTTTCTCTTGTCCTCCCATTCAATATTACCTAGTTCACAGAAGATGACACAAGGTAAGAAACCAAACAGTACTGATTGGCTGATTTCAAACCAATAGGGGCTGGCTATGAGTACATATGTTGCGGTATTATCTACACAAGACTCACAATGATGGCCAGAAGTAGCACACCGAGCTTTAATAAAATCCTCATGTTTGGTATTTATCAAGCCTGCACCAAAAAGATGGACTTAAACTTCAGGTTAAGCCTTTCTGTAAAACAGCACTGAAATCCTTGTTCTGGGTCCCCACTTGCTGTGTACCAGGATTTGAGTATGCGCCATGATTGGCCTGTTAAAATGCCATTGTTAATTTGCCAATCAGGTTGCAGACATATTTCTGCTAATTCATTGAGACAGCTAGAGGCCCAGAATAAGGATGTTGTTGCTGCTTTGCAGGCACTACTAACCGGAGTTAGATGTCAGTGTGATGCAGGCTATTGTTTATCGGGCTAATAGTAAAGGCGTTAAGCATCCAATTATGTAAAAAGGCAAACGCGAATTTGTACCATGAGACCAAGTTTCCTCTTTACTTGCTGTTTACTGTTCATTATTTCTTCACCTAAAATAGTAGTTTCACACAATTTTTTATCCATATTAATATTGTTTTGAGCTGTTTTTATCTGCTCATTTTCTATTTTGAGAGATTCTCAACTTGAATCTGACGTTTGTCATTTGCAGTATAAGTGAAGCTAAAACTCTCTAGTGGTAGAGATACAGCCATTCAAAAACTCCAAATTTATTGAAAAAATACACAATGTACATAGAGGCCTGGACAAATGTCTGGCAATCCATACAATTCCTAGTAGATTTTCAAGTTTTTTGAAAGGCTGTATTTTATTCCATCTTGGCTTGATTAATGTGGAGATTTTGTAAACTTGGTTTGTTTATCTTGCCATACGAGTCTTGTGTTTTTTTTTTCATTATCCTCTCCCCTTATGGGGCTTTTCAGGGATAATGAAACAAATAATTCAAATGGAACATAACAAAGTTAAGAATCCCACACGGTAGGAGACAAACCAATTGGCTATTTTAACAAGTGTTGCCAAGGATTTGAAATCAGGGCTACAGAGAACAAATCCAACTAGCGGTCAGGGTGGGACTTGAACTCAGCACGTCCAGAATACAAGTCCAGTGCCCTAACCACTTGGCCATGCCGCCTTCGCTTGTGTGATAATTTAATCCCATAGCCTTTTGCATGTGACCAAGGCTGTCACTAAGATTTCAAGTTGCTGGGTATATCCAAATAGTAGGCAGGGAATTAAACAGCCAGGAAGTCACTTTGGTTTTATCTTCCTTTTGTTCCCCATGAAAGTAGCAGGGCTATGTTCTTATTAGCTGGGGAAAAATTCCCCGCACCTGGCCCTAAGTGACAGACCTGTGTGACTATGCACTACTGGAACACTGACTTGTAATACTGAATGCAAGAACCACCTGGAAGAATCTGAATCTTGCTGAAGAGAATTGATTTGAACAGGATGCAAAGATCTCACCTTTTACCCTTAGCTCTTCTAAAATGAGATTGATAGCATCTATTGACAGTTTTCCTGAACGAAATGTTAAGGGAAGGTTCATAAATGAACGAGCCTTTAAAATGAATCATCATCATCATCAAGTCTCATCGTGTCAGTAGGTGCATAAGGCCTTTTTTAACCAAAAAAGAATGAATAATACAACTTTAAAGTATATACAGATTATACAACATTTCAAAAGTAACCGTTAATTTTGGAAGAGTGGAAGAAATTGTTTGAAGTCCTTTGCCTTAGCACTCATGCCTGGGTATTGGCACAAAATGGTGCCATGTATATGTACCCAATATGTAACTCCACTGTGTGAATATTTGCTCTATTTCGCCCTGTCAGATGCCACTTTGAAACACATTTATAGCAGGGAGTGGGTATGCAAAGCAATGGCTTACCTTGGAACTAACAGAAAGAGTGTGCAAACAGGGAACTGGTACCCCCTTTTGTGGCTGAGGGTGCCTAAAATTTTCTCGAACCACGCAGGTGGAAATTTTGTACATAAATATAAAACTATAAAATTTGACAACTCGCTACAATGTGGATCCAAATCAGCTGAACAAACTAAAAAGAGTACAAAAGTTACATCCCCTCAAATCACAGGCACATGATCTTATTTTACTTATGCCCCAGGCATCGTATCTACATTCTGGTGTGGGTACTTACTAGGACTCTTTAATGAGGATATCAATGTCACAGGTGAATGGTTTACCATTCCAAAGAAATTCCAGTTTGAAAATTTGGAAATTCCATGCACCCAATGGAAAGGTACATTCCAGTTGAACAGACCCAACTCAAGCCACAGTGTGTATGATTATTGTACTTGTAAGCAGGATACAGGAGAGCGGTACTGGGGACAACAATTTTGTCAATTAATGGAAGGACATTTTCAGTCCAACCGACCAAAATGACCAACTGGTCAGAGTGGACCATGCTGGTCAGACTGAACTGAAATGGTTCATTCCATTGGATTTTTGAATGAAATTTCCAGAACTCTGGGCTGAACGAAAAGTTTTAATAAAGTCTACGAGTCCTCAGCTTCTATGTTTGTAATAAGAATGATCAGTGATAGGATTAAGGGAAAGAGATCTGAAAAATTATTGAACCAGTTGCGTTGCAATTAATGCATGGATGTGTGATTGCTGTTTTCAGGAGTCAGTTAAGGTGACTGTATGCAAACTGCCTTCTTGTTTGCTTTAAACCGCTTTTTTGATTTTGTGATTGTTGCAACAGTGAAAGACTTTTTGTGTGGACCAGAATGTTCTTGAGAGATTTTTCCTTCCTATAGGAGATAATCGGTAGCTGGTTAAAGATTTGTTTAATCTCAGGTTGCTGTTGAATGATGTGTCAGTGTTTCATGAGAATCTTTTTGAGATTTGGTGTGGCCAGATTGTAGCTAGTAACAAACAGTAAAATCTCTTTTGTTTGTTTTGTTTTGTTGTGTAGAGCAAAGAGCAGTGAACTTAACTTCAGTCAGTATTTCTTGACCAAGTATTAAAGGGTAGCCTCTTTGACAGAGTCTGTGTTCAAAGTCTCGTGTGCTTTGTTCAGAGTTTTTCTCTGATTGAGTTATATACCTGCCAACTCTCACGCCTGCGAGTTGAAAACTTCGATCTTGCGCCGGCTCACGCTTGCGGGCCAATTTCTCACGCCTGATTGAAAAATGTGAGTTGTTGCCACCTTGCTTGACACAATTTCTTAAAATTTGTTTACTCCGACCCATGTAAGGAATGAAAACCATGTGTAAAATGAATAAAACAATAAGATCTCTGATTTTGTGGATTCTCGAGCCTGAATAAACCAGACTTCGGACTTCTGAAATGATCGTGTCATCTTAAAAATCCCAGACCCCCAGGATAAAAATCTCACACTTATATTATACCTGCCAACGAGGGGGGTTGAAAAGATCTCACGGGGGCTTGGGCCAATTTCTCACGCCTGATTGAAAAGGTGAGTTGTTATGACACAATTTCCAAAAATATGTTAACTCAATAGAGTAACGAAAACCATGTGTAAAGTGAATAAATGTAAAACCTTCTTTTGTTTGTTTTTTTAAAGTGAAAAACTTAACTTCAGTCAGTATTAATGACGGACGTCTTGAAGACTTGACAGGACTTCTTCGGGAATCTTCGGAAATGATCGTATCGTCTTCAAAACTCCCAGCACTCCCAGGATAAAAATCTCACGCTTATATCTCAGAAAAAGTTGGCAGGTATAGAGTTAGTTCTTAAAAGACATAATGCTTCTCCTTTTAAAAACCCTTTTTGGCAAGATGCATTGTTATCAAATATACGGCATTGTGAATTTTACAGAAATAAAAACCGAAGTATGACTAAAATCACACCACAATAATAATGCAATGCAACACATTATAAGCCTACTTATGACATCCTAGCACACTTAACAATTTTCATTATCTGTCACAACTGCGATTAAAAAACAAACATAATAATGATTGCAAGGATACGATCTATTTTCTTGTTGCAAAATATTTCACTGGACTGTGCTTCGTTCACATCAAGAATGTGACTTTTATGATGTTTGTAGTAGGCAAGCACCAAATCACACCAGCCTTCTATCTGTTTTTTCCGCGTGTCTAGGTTTGGTTGTAGCCTGCAAAAGTACTTCCATCTTTTTACTGCTACAAAATACGAGAATCTGAACAAGACAGAAGAAATACTCACGTGAAAAATGGTGGAAAGTTATACTGCCAAGGCCACTCAAAACCGTCCGCCATGTTAGATTAGGCCAGGCTGCAAAGTAACCAGGAAGAATAAAACCCAGGCCCCTTCTCTGTCTTCCCTCACAATATCGAAATCATCACCAGTTCGTAAGTTTCGCTTTGCGAGAATATGAAGGAAATGCGATGGTTTTGGAACTTACAGGAACACTTGCGGTTGATGTGAGGTACGATCTTACAAAAGTGTACGAGTAGGTTAAGATGTCTACTGAAATATCAAGTACTAAGTAGATTTACTCTTGGAATATGATTCGCTAAGTCTCGGCATTTCCGGTTGGACTGTCTTAAAGGATGATTTTTTTTCAGAAGCAAATTTCTTCGCTGTGTAGAAAAAGCTTAAATACTAGGATTTGCTACAGCTGTTTCTGGCCGGGGGTCAGAACTGATTTTCGCAAAATTTATTTGTGACTACTTATAGCCCAAACTAATAGACCATTTTACAGTTATGAGCTTAGTACCCTAGCCTCTGATGACCTCTGATTGAACGTGAGGCTCAGGTTGACCTTGTTTTGATACAAACTTTAATCCTTTCCTATGCTAAAATATACTAGTTAACATAAGAATAACATGAATTAACATAATAAAGACCGAGGCTTTCAAAACAAGGCATCTCCAACATGATAAAACTGTAACTATAAAATGGACTAAATGGAGGAGTTTGCTAGGGGGGACCAGGAATTTAAACGACGGGGATGATCGAATGGGGGCAAAAATCAAAACCCCAAAAAATCCCTAGGGTTTCGAACAAAACCCCAAGAAATACCTGGACAAAAATTTACTCTCCCCTCCCCCCCCCCAAAAAAAAACTCCCATGCCAAATTTCCGAGCCTTTTGGATTGTAACAGCACTCGAGACACCCAAGAACATCTTCGGTTTCATCAATAACATTATGCAGAATGACAACTTCAAATTTTTATGGATACGCAAAAAATCCTGCGTCTGGGCTCCTGCCGTAAATCAAGCCACCCAACCTCTTTCCCAGGATTCTCTCCTACCCGTCCCTAAGGAGAGAGAACCTGGGAACGAGGTTGAAAGCCACCCCCCCAAAAAAAGCTTGTCAAAGTTTTCCACCCAAAAAACCCCCAAAATTTCAAACCCAAAAAAATCCTTCGATCATTCCCCTCACTTGAAATCCTGAGAACCCCCCTGGGGGAGGATGGTGGGGGACTCCCTTGTGAAACATACAGTGGAAGTTAAAGGACGCCAATCTGGTCGTTGCCATACGTTATCAGACCCTTTTAAGACATTGATATCAATATCTGAGATTACACACACCCCTTAACGAGACACGAGACAACAAGAATCCCCACTCCTTTACATCCCCCCCACCCCTGTTAGGGGTGTATCAGGCAGTATCAGGCAGTTCTATAGTGAGATATTACATAAAAGGCACTGCGAAATTTCTGGTACATGTATTGTATGCTTCTTTACCACTATTTCCATTCACGTCTTAATTACTTTTGTTATGTCAGGTCCCAGCAACTCAACTGAGCTAAGTACAGTACGGCGTGACATGAAACAAATGTGCGCGCGCAGATGAAACACAATGTCTTACATAAAGCAGTACGAAAGAGCAACAGTGACGAAGTTCGAAATCTACTGCAAACAGAAGGGACAGCTGTAAATTCAAGAGATAGTTATGGCAATACTCCTTTACATTTTGTAAGCGATAAGACCATTGCTTCTCTTTTGATTGAATCGGGTGCCGACCTAAACCTGCAAAATCAAGACGGTGATACAGCACTACATACTTGGCATAGGCCCAACTTTGAACAGAACCATCTTGATGATCTTCTCGATACTGCACCTGAGAGGAAATTAGAACTCATCTCCCTGTTATTAGAATCTGGAGCTTCACCGAACATACAGAATAATTTTGGCTACAACGCCCTACACTCTTCGCTTACCTATGGTGGTATCGCAGGGATACCCTACGATGGCCACTTTATGAATAAAGTAATATCTCTTTTAATCCAATTCAACGTTGATGTGAACATGGGAGATTTTGAAGGCTGTACGCCTTTACATCACGCTGTCAAAGAACCCCATGTGTTCAATGCAGAGACACTTGTGGCAGCAGGAGCTCTGGTGAATGCAAGAGACTATCGTGGATTGACTCCTCTTCAGCATATCTTCCACTCTGATAACACAGATATGGCACAACTATTGCTGAAATACAAAGCTGATATAAATTCGCAAGACATGGATGGCCGATCTATGCTATCAACGGCGGTAGAAGTGGGCAACGAGGAAATGGTGCAGTTTTTGTTAACAGACCCGCAGGTGCGTGTCAACCTTGCAGACAAAAACAATGTAACTCCCCTTCACCTTGCTGCAGCATTTAAACGTGTGGATCTCACTGCAATGTTGATCCAAGCCTCAGCCGACGTAAATGCACCCGATTCACGCAACGCAACCCCGTTACACTACGGAACCTATGGGGGTACACCAGAAATTGTCACATTGCTGCTGGAGGCTGGTGCAGATGGCAAAATAAAAGACGATGCTGGATGGATGGCAGTACAGTATGCTCTTGCTAGACACTACTGTCACACTGCTCTACCGTTTGGTGAAAAATATCTAAGAGATTGTTACGCAAGTAGCACCAGAGGGCATAGGAGGACTGCAGACACTACCTTGGATGATATTATATTGGGAAGCCTCCCGGCAGACGACATCTTTACAATAGTGGTGCCCGCATCCCAAGTCCACGCAGATCCGCTAGACTCTTCAATTAAACTTGATGATTTGGTTGAGTACACGAGGGCCAAATCAGAGGGACATATTTCCAGGTACTTACATGACATGTGTACCGTGCCTGGAGTTGGACGAATCCCAATGACCATTTCAGAAGTCAAGTTCTTGAAGTCGGAAGTCGAGAATGCACCAAACGATGCTGGAAAGATGGGGCTAGGAGCTGAAAGCTTAAAGACAGAATTTCATGAGGAGAAACCAGAAGTTGGTGACACGAAGGTTGCAGTCGATTACATGAGGAACGAAGTTGAAGATATTCGGGAAAACGTTGAAAAATTCATCTCCAAGTGGAAACAGAAAATAGCTGAAACGGATGCGAGGTTCACAGGCACGTTGCTTCAGTCCGGAAGCGTCTACGAAGGTACGAAGGTTGGTGAGCCAGACGAATTTGATTACATGTTGTGCTTAGAAAGGCTAGCACCAGTATGTTCGGTTACATTTGATGAGGTAACAGAATACGATAAAGTCATAGTCCACAAAAACGTGGAAGGCTTTGAAAGTAGTTACGAGGGATTTTTTGACGGACTGCAACTGGAAAGTGGCAAAGTTATGGGATTGTTTGTAGATGTTGCCAAAAAGGCATTAACAAGACTGGACTATAGTTTGGTGCCCAGTGAGATGTACGTTGAAGGCCTCACAGAGCATACCCTTATTGAAGATACTTGGGCTTTGCACGGCACAGTGACCTGTAACTTGAAGATCAAATGGTGTGGTCTGTATTACAAGCAGCTCGTGATTACTGTAGATTTAGTACCTGCCATTCCGATTCCAGAGTGGCCGCAAGTGGTCCGTCAAGAAAGCTATCTATTGACTGAGGATATTAGACTCCGGGGTTGCCATTTGGTACCAAAGTCTGGTTATTGGAGACTTTCATTCTCTCTGGCGGAGAAGCTGATAATGCAAAGGCTACCGTGGGAACAAAAGTCGGCGTTTGTTGGGGCCAAAGTCATTCTTCATCCCGCTGTTTCTTGTAAGTTCATGGTTTATGATGACAACTATGCTCTTGATGACGACAGTTTTCCCGTTCTTGGCGATGTTCTGCAAAACGTTGGTGACGGCGATGGGACTGTCCAAGACGCTGATGAGTGTGAGGGCGTCATGACGATGCAAGGTAACAAAGAGGCTTCCACTTCGTCAAACGAAACTACCAGTGCTTGTTGTTTGGATGAATTGGGTGGAATCAATCAAGAAAAGTTTTCAGTACCAGCAACTATTGTTGGTAGAACTGCGTTGTCACAGTCTGGTGATGGTGCAACCATTTTAAAGTTTGCCAACGCCGAAGAATTTCAAATTGTGCCAGAAAAGATGCAAAGTGATATGGACGAGAGAATTGCGATTGGTTTTCAAAAGCAACAAACGACAGACGACGACAGTGATGTCCCTACCGAAACACTTCTCCCGTTTAATGTTTTATCAACATATTTGCTGAAGAATTTGTTTTTCAACTGTATTGAACAAAACGCCAAAGATACTACGGGAGTTGTAGTCACAACTAAACAAATATTTAGCGAGCTGTTTTATCATTTAAAGGAAAATCAACCCATTCCCTATTATTTTATGCCAACTCAAGGTTTCTGTGGGCTCGAGGAATCCAGTGACGATTCCCGTCTTGAGAAGGTGTTGGTTGCCAGAATAATGAACAGTTTACTAAGTCAGGTATAACTTCAGGTAGGTGAAGAGAACAGGCCTAAGTTGTTTCAAAGAATGGATAACGCTATCTACTACTTAAATCTCTATCCAGTGGATTACTCAAATGGTGTCCCTAAAACAGTCACACCCCGTTGATACGGACACTGAGGGGACCATAGTAAGTGTCCGTATTAATCGGTTTGAATTTAAAGAAAATGTAAGAGCTATGGGACAAGGCCAGTAAATCTGTCCGTGAACTAAGTGTCCGTATCATAAAGGGGGTGCCCGCAAAGCGGGTCTATCCGATGGATAGTGTCACTTTTCAGGAGAACTATTATTTTTTGTCTCTCCTCACGCAACGCTCCTACTTAAGAAACTTGGGAGGAGCATTGCGGAGGGAGGAAAATAACGACCGACGAACGAAAAAAGAGTTTGATGGATTAATGTTCATTAAATAGAACCTCCTGTATGTGACTACCCAAAATTCCGACACATCTACTTTTTGGAAGAATATATATTGCGTGCAATTTCTAAGGCCCGGTTCAAACGTGATGTAGAATCCCGGTTATGGGTATTTTGGGCTTATACAATTTTTTCGTAAATTTTTTTTGGGAGGGCCTATAATCGGGGGCTTATAACCACTACCCCTTATAATAGGGAGGAAAAAACGTCTAAAATCCGTTCTATTAAAATGAAAATTTTAATCACCAACGAACGTATAAAGGGTTCGATGGATTAATGTTCATTAGCAGAGAGGTGGGCTTATAATCGGGTGGGCTTATAACCGGGGGGGCTTATAACCGGGAGGAAATTTCTATTAGCAGAGAGGTGGGCTTATAATCGGGGGGGCTTATAACCGGGATTCTACGGTATTTCACATGTGCCCGAATTTAGAGGGTCCCCAATAGTTTTTTCGGGATCTGGCATTTCTCTTATTTGAAGCTCGGGATTCGGGATTTTCCGTATTTGAAACTCGGGATTCGAGATTGAACGAAGGCGTGGGAGGTGGGATGCCAAAAGTAACCCTCGGAATTACGGGAATGCCCGAAATTTTGGGTCGGGATTACCGGATTCAAGAACGTTATTGGGGATCCTCAATTTAATGCTAACGAAAAAAAACGTCTTGTTCTAGGTCATTATAACCTGCGAAAACATCCGTTTCTCCTCGCTCTTCGCCGCTGGGGACGTTTCGCGAGGAGGAACGTCTGCGACTCAGCGACAGAAATTCCATACTGATGACGTAAAATCTGTCCGGAATCCGGTCAGAAGCGCTGATTGGTCGAAGGAGTAGTTACATTGTTTTAGCTATTGTTTACGAATGACAGACAAAAGACAAAAGGCCACAAAGGTTAAATGTAAACACGAAGAATCTCGAGCAAAATAGTCAAAATTAGTGGAATATACTCTTCTCTAGAAGAAGCGTTTGAGTTTTGCTAGAGCTCGTTGGCAGATGAACACGACACTTAACCAAAATCGACCAGAAGACACGTAAAATTGGACAAATTTGTATTTGGAACCCCATGACTACCGGATTTATTATGTAAACATTGATTTGCGTCATCAGTATGGAATTTCTCTCGCTGAGTCGCAGACGTTCCTCCTCGCGAAACGTCCCCAGCGGCGAAGAGCGAGGAGAAACGGATGTTATGATTATGGCTCTTGTTCGCACTCAACCTCGTTCCCAGGAGTCCTCTCCTAAGGACGGGGGCCGAGTAAGAGAGGACCCTGGGAACTAGGTTGATTTGTCCCTAAAAGTTCTTCGCGTTCTACGAGTGGCGTAGTCATGAAGCAGAGATCAGACCATACGTCAAGTGGTCGCTCACAAGTGGATAAAAAGAAGCGGTCGTTTATGAGAGGTGGTCGTTTAAGAGAGATTTTAATTAAAGTTATTAAAGGTTTGACTTGAAAAATTTTTGTGTTTTGGATTGGTGGTCGCACATGGAGATTGCGTTTTCTTCCGGATTGGACCTCAGGCGGTTCTTCTTCCCTAAGAAAAAAAAAAGAAAAAGAAAAACAATACAACAGACATCGAAAACATCGTTGCCACTTCACGCGTAAAAAAGTAGGTCACGCAATCTTCTCTTCTGCAAAATTTCGTGACAAGCCAGCCATTTGTTTGTGCAAGGACGAAAAAGGAACCCGACAGTTTATTCAACAAATGTTATGGCAGTTTTGAGAAACTAACAAGAAGAGAAATAAAGCTAATTTTAAAAAAAGAAATATCCTAAAACTCTCGTGACTGTTAGGACACAGCGAAGTACGTTTCATTTTCCATATATGGTGTGCTTACGTTTGGGTGTGCATCTGTCCATCCCAAAGCCTGACGTGCATATAAATCCACTACAAAGAACGTTTAGAGATCTTGACAGTCGACGGGTTTTTGAAGCAAAATGTCCAGCAAATCTAAAACCAAGAAGACTGCAAAAAAGAGGGCTCAAAGAGCCACCTCCAACGTCTTTGCTATGTTTGAACAGTCTCAAATCCAGGAATTTAAAGAGGCGTTCAACATGATTGACCAGAATCGCGACGGTTTTATCGATGCCGACGATCTCAAGGATATGTTCGCTTCTCTCGGCAAAGACGTTAAAGATGACTACGTGGAAGATATGCTTAGCGAAGCGAGTGGAGCCATCAATTTTACAATGTTTTTGACATTATTTGGCGAGAAAATGAACGGAACAGACCCTGAAGATGTCATAAGAAACGCGTTCGCGTGCTTTGATGAAGAAGGGAGTGGGAAGGTGGACGAAGATAGATTGGTGAATTTGCTTCAGTCTGTGGGCGACCGGTAAGTTGTTAATATCATCCGTGATGTTTTGGTCCTTGAGACATCTTAAGTTCAAACCTGGGCACTTTCACAAGTGTGACTCGAAGACACTAAAGTTATGCTTCACTGGGATTTTCTTGTTTCATTGCGCGGAGTTTTAAAGCCAAAGTTTGACCTAGTTCGTGATCTGACCCACGGTTAAATCTTTAAGTAGACGGGTTGTAGTTGCTTTTCTCTTAAAACTCAGCGTGAGTTTTATTGCTTGAATAAAAGGCCTCTTTGTGTGGAAATTATAATTCATATCGTTTCGAATTCTCCGAAAGACCTTTTGCTCCGCATGTTGTGTACATTTCATGCACAGTTAATGATTGTTGATCGATTGCACAGTTAAAAATTGCTCAGCGGGTTATCAGAAAACGGGTCTGCCAATTCACTGATCCGTTATCGTTGGCAAAATAAAGATAAACCGTACTTATAAACGAAGAATTTTCACATTTTCGTAGCAGATGTCAAGATTGTTAAGAACTGAGTACATTCCAAAGTATGCTGTGTACAAAAATATTCACACTCCGGTTAATTACACCGCAACATTCCGTTACGTCCGCTGTTCGAATTTCCCATTTGTGTCCGTCCTTTTTCCAAGCGAAATTGCTATAACAGTTCATTATAAGAATGTTGTGGCTTACTGTGCCGGTTTTTAATAAATTTGGAACAAGTTGTTTGCTTTCTGACGCTTTCTTATCGCGGTTTGATCAACAATGTCCAATATCCATCGAAACATTCAATTAGCATGTCTAACAACAGAATTCTTTTCATGTGTACATGAGAGCGGTATCGATCATATCGTTTGGGAAAGCCCTCGCCCTCCATAATTGTCATATCTTTGAAAAGACAGACATGACAACTAATTAGAGACTTCACAGACTCAAAGCAAGGACTTGACGAACTCCTTGTCGCAAAAGGGAATAAAAAGACCTCTGTCCGTTTGCCGCATCCATAAATCTCATGAGTAGTTTGGGAGGTAATGTAGTTTTTTGGACAGAATGTAATTAGATGTTCTGCATAGCAGTTCTCTGGAAAAGTACAAAGCAAGATTGGCAGTTAATTAACCTTTAGTCTGTCAGTATTGACCTATTCAAGATTGCCCAGTTTAAAACTTAGCCATGATCTTATCCCACAGAACAAACATCTAATTGATCAAGGCACCTTCCAAATTTCACTGTTCTATAGATCAGAGGTTATTGCTACCCCTTACATATATTTGCATAAATGGGTGATTCCAGAAAATATCCATACCCTACCACGGGTGGCATGAGTATTTTAACCCCCCCTTCTTGGAAATTCCAAAATACTTATGCCCCCCTTGCCCTCCAAATTCCAAAATCGCTAACCCCCCCTCTCCTCCGGAATTTTCCACTTTTGTTTCAGACCCTTTGCGGGAATTCCTGTTCGTCTGCCTAAATCTTTAAACGAACGAGAAACTTGCACTTTTTCCCTCTGCAAAAGAATTCTGTTCACAATTTTTAGTCAGACGATCAAGCAACTCAAGTTTGTTAACGTTAGTACACCGTAGCTATTCCTTCTAAGCATTATCTTTAAGCTGCTTACCACCTAATAGAACTTTAAAATATACGTCCGTTTAAGGATATCAGCTCCTGGAATAAATAGTTATTTCGAGGAAAAATAACTATTTAGAACTGAATGATCAAAACACTTGCGCATAAACAGTTTTGAATTAAACATCGCATCAAAAGGCATGCTGTCGGATTTTACTACCTACATGTTGGCATGAAAATCGGCGTGAAATACAAAATCTGTCAGGCGTTCTATTTGGAAACGAGAGACTGGTGCGAGTTTTCAGCACGCAACAACACATCGTCGATCGACAATCGGTGAGAAACACCGACTTGGTTATGTTTTTATTAATCAGTTGACTAATTCATCAACTTTAAGGCCTCTTCGAAGTGGAGCTTGCTGCACAACCCATCTGCTTACCCATCTGCATGAACGCATACTTCTTCCGAGGTCGGTTCGTGCTTCATTTACAAACTGGGAATGTTAACAGGTCAGCGATTTCAAGTGGAGCTTTCGCTGTCTTTCCTCTGGAAATTCACTGAATTCAGAGCTGAAACACCCCCATGCCTTTGGAATTCCAAACTGCGTTACCCCCCCACGTCTTCGGAATTCCAGTCCAAGAAACCCCCCCTCTCCCTCGGAATTCCAAGATGCCGCCCGTGGTATGGTATAGATATTTTCTGGAATCACCCAATATAGTGAAAGTATAAATGCACCAGTCAATTGAAACCACTGTCCCCCAACCCCCCTTGGGGGGCAATAAGGGGGACATAAACGTGGAATTGCGCTTTTGTAACACCTCTGGGAGGATGGGGACAGTCACGATTTGTGAAATTAGCGGGGATTTTTTGTGGGCTGTAACGCCAGCCATGACAGCAGGACTGGGCCAGAGCAAACAAGCGCTAGTGTCATTGTTGCAATTACTTACAGTGTAATGCCAAAACACTTTGGCAAATCTAACACTCTGATCATTAAATGAATTTAGTCCATTATTAGTAGTTATATAGCTTCTAATAAATTGGAGCATTGTTTAATACGTTCTAAAGTGATTGCCATAGGGAACTTAGGGATTGAGAAGAGGGTGGGTGGTAGGGCCTGTGAATAAACACTGATGCCTTCATTCCAGGCATGACCTTGTTAACTGATGAACAGAATGGATGATGGCAGTGTTGAAGCTTTGTTCAGAGGGCATTTCCCTCCCCAACCCCCTGTCAATTTGAGTATTTCAACTGATTACTTTTCAGAACCCTCGAAACTACCCCCTACCTCTAAGCTATTGCACGTGGCATGTACAAAATGCAGTCACAGGTCACAAGTGCAGGTTAGAGTACTGGTCACTGTGCTACAAAAAATAAAGAACAGTAAAAGTGTCTCCTTGTGCTAATTACAATCCAGTTTTAACCAAGGGGAAACTGCTTATATCAGTCATTTATCGATAGAGTAGTGACCTGTGTTTGTCCTGCCACATTGCACCTCTGCTAAAAATCTTCATTAATATTTTTTAAACTGAGTGCTGTGACTAATCATTTTCCTTGTTTTGTTCAACAGGTTTACAGATACAGAAATTGACGAGATGTTACATGGAGCACCTGTTGATTCCAAGGGTCTCTTTGATTATGTGAAATTCACCAAAATTATCAAGCACGGAAAGGATGATGATTAACGAGGCATTCCCTGGACATCTGGACGCACAAAAAAAAACTTTCTTTTATTTTCTTATACTCAGTAGGCTTGCTTAAAGTATTTTTTGCATTTTTGTATGAAAAGGAAGAAGACTTATTTAATCATACTGATCATGGAAAGGATGATGATTAACGAGGCATTCCCTGGACATCTGGACGCACAAAAAAAAACTTTCTTTTATTTTCTTATACCCAGTAGGCTTGCTTAAAGTATTTTTTGCATTTTTGTATGAAAAGGAAGAAGACTTATTTAATCATACTGATCATATTATTATTTTGTTTAACAAGTTAAGAGATTAAATTTCACATCTCCTTGTTACAAAAAAATAAGAAAGATTGTGGATATAACTTTCTTCTTTTTCCTTTTATTTTGACGAAAGTTGTTAACAACGCACATTGGGAGAGATATACAGATAAAGCCTGTACCAATAAAACCAATATCCAAAAACACTCATTTTGAAAATGATGCCAGGGACCACACCTTTTCTTAAAGCACAGGCTTGGAGCAACTCAGGAATGACTTTATATTGTACAACATCCTTACCTTATCCCTTTAAGTCCCAAGAGTCACCAAAGTCAATTTTCCCCCCAACAAAATCAATACATAATCAAAGGAAAATGTTGTGAGAATCAATAAAATAATCACCTGATGGGAAAAGCTTTGATCTACAAACAAATTCTCTTAACCAATTCTTGCAGGAAATGTATGGAGATCAGTCTGGAGAGTTTGTATTTGGATACTGGGGCTTAAGGGGTTATAAGTGTGGTCACCAAACCGGTACTCGTTGAAGGCGAAGATCAAGCGTGTACAAAAGCAAGCCACCGCACGAATTGTCGACGTGTCGTAAAAAATAAACTTGGATGTAGCAAATTTTCGACCAAAACAGGAGCATGGGCTCCTGACCAAAACTAAAGCACTAGTTTGATCTGGAATCTCTGGGCTCGTTCCCGGCCCGGGATGTCACGTCGGAGGGGGGTGGAAGGGGGGGGGGGGGGAGAGGGGAAGCCAGTTGGGGCGTCGGGAAATGTCGGCCTTTTTTTCGCAGGCTATACTACCAGTTTTGAATTTGCTTCGATCAGGACCAAACCCTCGCTAGGTGTCAAAGAGGATCAACGCATGTTAACTGTAAATCCATCTCTCTAGGGATGATATTGGCATCTCAGAGGTAAGTTCCTTAAGTAGCGGCCTCCCACGCCGATTTGAGGAAGTCCTAAGATCGTCTGCGAGGGAGGTTACTCCTTAAGAAGCTTCTACCGTGTTAACGCCCTCCTCCAAAATAGGAAGATCGTTGCATTACCACAGAGGGAACAACTGAGTAGGAGACTGGGTCACGAAAACAGGGAAGCGAACAGAAAGGATCATTTTGTCTTTAACATGTTCAGGGTTTGAAGGACGCAGCGGCACACCCGCACCAAAACTTCCCTCAAGTGCCCCCGGCTACCCTGGTGCTAGTTTCGCTTCACCGGTGATCTTGGATTTCCGCTTAACTGTTACTTCTTATGTTAGCAGGTGTCTTAGCTGGCACCCATTAAGTCAATAACAAAAGCGGTGGCTGCAGTTTACAGTTTCTGAAGGTGAGTTGTTGAAATCAGCCTTCTGACTGCCGGTAAGGCCACTGCTTTCAATCTATTGAGGGCAGGATATCTTGTTACTTGATCATCAAAAAAGGTTTTTAAACTCAACTAATGGGGAGGCCCTTCTTTTATTCAGTCATTGGCCAAAATCGAAGCTCTTGACTTTATTTTGGGCATGAAACAACCGCTCCACCTTGAAACTACCTCAAGCAGGTCTGGATCCGTTACGGTTTATCTACAAAGCTTTACATCTGAGCCCAAGATAAAGTATCTGTGCGGTAAAAGGGGGTGCATACACCCCTTCCCCCCTCCCCATGCAATCCCCTTACTAGACGGACCCACGCAGTTTGCCCTGCATTTTGCTGGATGCACAGATTGATTTCCTAAGGAGGGAGGCCAGGCCGACATCTATAATATTGGTCTAACAGAACTTTAATTATATCAAAAACTAAACTTATATACAAGGATGAATACTTACAGGAAAGCTAAACATGATGTATCAGTCACTTTGAGAAAAAGTAATAACTGCCGCAAAGTAGAATTCTAAGGTGACGCTTACTGTGAATCAGTGGAAGCATTATCACATTACACTAATAACATTCCTATAGGAAAATGTCTTCATATGTAGCTGTATGTTTAGTTTTCTAAGTAAAATGTAAATGTCCATCAATTTGTCCCAGTCTTCATTATGAGTCATTAATACACATTGTTATTAACGCTAGGCTTTACGATAAGTGGAGATTTTTTAGGAGTTAGTAAACTGTAATCTATTCTAAACCTTTTAACCTTTTAGTTCTTTTGGTTTGTTCAAATCACACCCTGTTGCTATGTAAAGCTATAGTATTGACCAAACAAATTTTCTCTTCTCACAAAAACCCACACTATTATTATGAAAAAAAAAACAAAACAAAACAAAACAAAACAGTATATATTACCGAAACCTAAGAGCTTCGAGATTGCTTAGAAGCTACCTGATTGCCGAACTAATAAAAAACTTTAAAACTTCTTTTTAAAAATCGAGAATATAATGTCAAAGACTGTAGTTCAAATTATTGCTGTTCAGAAAAATATATTTACACATGCTTAGATAAATACTTTATAGTTTATTTTCCTTGCTTTTGAGAGATTTTTCCCTTGCCGGGTTATTTTGTTAGCTCTAAGGTCTAAGCTTTGTTTCTTTCGATTTCTTTTGCAGTTAGTATGTGTGAGTGCAGTGCTGGCAGTGAAGCGTTTTATACATCCATCAGTTATCTTATTGAGCTTTCAGTTTAGAAAAAGTAATATTGATTGAGCTTTAAGTTGTTTAGTTTGCAGTTAGTGTGGTGTTAATCAGTTATCTGATTAAAAGCGAGGTTTAATCTTTTTAGTTCGCAAAAACCCTGATTGTGTTGGTTGCGAGGTAACAACTTCGCAAACTCAATACATCCTAGCGACTGAAGGTTGTTAAAGCTTAAATCAAAATACAAAATTCCTTCAACAGAGAAACATTTACATTGCATACAAGGATTTAAAAGAAAAATACTTTACAGTTTATGTTCATTGACTTTAGGAGATTTTCACCTTTATCAGTTATGTTGTTATTCTCGAGGTGTAAGCTGTTTAGTTTGCAATTAGTGTGTGTGAGTGCTGTAGATAAATGTTTAACCCCTTTATCACTTATGTTGTTATACGCGAGGCCTAAGTTGTTTAGTCTACAATTAGTGTGTGTGAGTGCTGTAGATAAACGTTTAACTGCTTCATCAGTTATGTTGTTAAAGCCGAGGTCTAATCTTTCTAGTTCGCAAAAACCCTGGTTGTGTTGGTTGCCAGGTAACAACTTCGCAATCTCAATACATCCTAACGACTGAAGGTTGTTGAACCTTAAATCAAAATCCAAAATTCCTTCAACAGATTTAAGTGCATGCACTAATGCTAAACAGTCAAGAGGTGACAGGGAACACTGAGCAAAATCAAGCGCATTACAACCAATTTTCGCCAGTTTCTTTTGAACTTCTCGATCAGAGGCTTTGTTCTCATACATGCAATTGAATAACGTCACCACTAAAGCCATGTCTCCAAAAGCCGGCCAGCAGGTCAGTGTTTCACTTCGTTGCTCTGAATCTTCATTCATCTTGATGTCAACTTCTCTAATAAAAGTTTTTGAGGGAAGAAGGTCGCTGAAAATATCTGTTGATTGTTCTCCTTTTTCAGCCAGTAGTCCAGCCACAAACTGCATCACAACCTTCCACGCGCCCTCCTGGATGTTATTGGAAACAAACTTCTGCAGGTCTTTGGAACTGTACGTGTCCACCAAATGCTTCGCCGCGAAGAACTCCTGCATCGTCAGGTGCATAAAACAATATTGTGCTCGTCCTTCCGTTAAACCGTTAAAACTATCAGGTAATCGGTGGAACAAGCCATTACTCGCTAGGTTCTTCACTTCGTGTGATTCAAAAATTAGATTTCCCTCTCTAATTCCATCAAAAGCAATTTTTGCCAGACGTGCAAACACATCTTGCACATCGGAAGAAAGTTCCTTAAACTTCTTTAGAATAAATGGTTGACCTTCGGCTTTATCGTGGCGATACTGATTATCATCGTAACAAAAGTAAAACATTTTTATTGCAACTGAGTATATTTCTGTCAGTCTTGTCGGGAGGCTAGTAAAGCCAGTAGTGTTACGAAGCAACTGTAACAAGCACGAACAAACGATGTAACAATTCACAGGGATGTAGCAGAAGGCTAGAAGGTTTGAGTTACTTGTAATGTGTTGCTTTATGGTTTCTGCCTTGTCCCCCTGCTTTGAAAACTTGTCTACATAATCTTCCACTTGCTTAGTTGAAAATCCCAGAATTTCAACTGTTCTATTAAAGTCAAGACTTCTGATATATGGCACGGCATTAGGCCTTGTAGTTATTAAGACTGTGGCACCGGTAAGAAGTTTTCGGGATACTATTTTCTTGAGCAGGAAATGGACAGGCATCCTGTCTTCTTCACTGTTTCTGTACAGACCGTCATCCTTATTGACTTTAGTCTTCCCAGAATATTCATCAAATCCATCAAAAATAATCAGTACTCGCTTTGGGTTGTTACGGATGTAGCTCCAGGCCTCTTCAGATAGAGCTGTTGAATACTCTGAGTGATCCAGAAGCTCGCGAAGATTTAGTTCTTTTTTGTCTGTAGAGTTGAACATCCTCAACTTGACTAGAAAAGCGACTTTAAAATCTATTTGTGATTTTTGTGTTTTGTTCAACAAATTATCGGACGCCCAGTCGCGAAGAATCTTTGTACTAAACAAAGTTTTTCCAACCCCAGGACGACCGACAACAAGAATCTTTTGTTTCACAGCTTCGAAAATATCTCCTGGCCGTGTTGGTCGCAAATTTTCATTGGCTTTGTGGTACTCTTTAAGTTGTTCCCCTCTGTCTCCAGAAAAGTCATACTTAGCTCTCCCCTTATAAACAATCAAGTTGGTGAAGATTTCGTCAAGCTTTAGATCTCTTCCTTCGCCTGGATCATCAAAAGGTGATTTAAGATCTTTGTAAGGTCGTTCGGTGACTTCTCGGACATGTTTCTTCATTTGTTCAATGGAATGAGCTAATAATGTTTCATGAGGAGTGCGGTTGATTGACGGCTCGGTTGTTAATAACACTTGTTCTGGGTCTGTATGTTTGTCTGTATTCGAATTCAGATAATATTTATGAAATTTGGGGTCCTCCGTGAACCCTTGTACTCTTTTTGTACGCCATAACAAATAAAGAGACTCGATGAAAACAAGAAACGCAAACACTCCAGTTACAAGGATCACGGCATCAGCCCAGAAGGTCTTCTTAGCTGCTCGTTGATTATGACATTCGTATGACATTTGCGTTTGTGTTCCGTTGCGAGTCGCATTAGCCGTTATGTCTGAAAAATTCCCGTCTCTCGTTAAGTTACAATTGAAGTTCGAGGGAAAGCTGAGCGGATAAAGTAATTTGGTCTGCAGAAGGACAAAAGAAATCCCGAAAGCAAATCTGGCTAGAAGTTGCAAACAGTACGCTTTGAAAAGCTTTTTCCGGGGAGTTCGCCCTTCCACATCATCATCCGCGTTCCTAGGGTTTTCAAGTTCCTCAACTTTCGACTTCACCGCTTGTGAGTAAATTACACCAACACTTGCAGTAACAAGGAAGTTGATAATCACGAACCCATACACAGGAATAACGAATTTGTTGTACTGTTTTTCATACTGTTCGTAACACTTAACATCAATGAGTTCCCTGTCACCATTTGAGTCACAGCGAAAGTCAGTCGGTTCGCTGTTTTCAATGTCTAGTAAGATTGCTGATAGGATAGTTCCAGGCACAAACCAACATACATTTGCCACATAACTGAACCAGTGGAGTGTTTTAGGAGCAAGCAAATCTTTAAGACCTTCCATGTTGTATGCCTCTCGATTTCTCGCTTATGAGCTACAAATGCTTGCATTTAGCTTTTGTATTCTATTAGAAATAATGGAACGAGGAAAGTTATTCAGATGTAGTCAACCATGGCTGTTTGGTATATTTGAATCACAAAAACACTGTTTGTTTACCGTTCGCGTTAGGTCAAAGTTTTCGCGTTTCGAATATTCGCGTATTATTGCTGAAGATGCGCATAAACTGGTCATAGCATTTCTGTTTGTGAGCAATCATTCCACATGAAGCATGGGATTTTTTGCTGCACCCGCCCGCGTACAGGCTCTTTACAGCCACACCTGTGCTGCGAGCTACAGTAAAACCCCGGGTATAAGAACCTGGATTTTTTTAATTTAGCCTTAACAGGTTCTTATATAAATGGTACTTGAAGCAAATTTAGACCACCAAGGTTCTTAAAATAGGTTCTTATATTTTCATATGAATTTCATTTAAGTATATTATAAATATCATCTCATAATACAATATAAATCATTTATACCATAATGCCTAAAGGCAGTACAGTGCAGGTATGTCCTTAACAAAACATAACAAACAAACTCACAGTCAGTTCTCTCAAATGCCATCTCAAAGTTGATACACTTTCAGCAACTCCACTGATAAGAACCTAACTTAAAATTTTAGCCTTAATAGGTTTTTATGTGGATCGGAGGGGGCTTAAAATGAAAATTTTAGCCTAACAGGTTCTTAATACCCAGGTTCTTATACGCGGGGTTTGACTGTACGTATCATTCTTGAAATATTTGTGGCTAATTTAAAAATCCCCGTAATCCTATCGTTTCCAGCGGAGAGCACTTGGAAGAGCCGAGATTAAACTTTTCCTCCCACAATGCGACAAATTCTCCCATCAGGTCCCACCGTGTGATAACTGCGATATCAAAAACGAGGGAAAACAAGTGAAGAAATTTGGTCAACTTTGGCTGACTCTGACAGTGCAATTTTGGTATGTGTATTAACCATTGCTATTTTTGCGTGCGTGTCAGGCCAAAGAACTTCCTGTCTCTCTCTCTTTCTTTTCCTTTAATTGTTCCCCAATGAAGATTAGGCAGGCCTGTTAAGACAATCGACAATAGCTGAAAAGATGAAAAGATGCGTGCCTCTGAGAAGAAATGTGGCCGAGAAGCCTCGGGGTATGAAGTTGAAGTTTGTACTTTCCCAGTTACGCACGTGTACACATGAAAGTAAAAACATGTTCGTTTTCTTCGAGAGCTTAAGGTTTTATGGTGAGCAAGAGTCAGTCTTGTCCAACCCCGTAAAACTCGGTGGAGTCAGTTTTAATCTTCTACCGAGATCCCACTCTGGCCGTGGAAGATCCGAGTACGAGATAAGGGGAAGATTAAAACGGGCCCTTTAAAGTGAATGTAAAAAATACTGAAAAAATATTGATTCGTTTAATATTTTTTCTTCTCAAAAACATGTTTATAAAAATACAATATCTGATGTCTTTTCTTTGTGTAATAGTGATAACTAATTGCAAAGGCGGAATTAATTACATTTTCCTCATGTATTTCCCAATTTTGTTGACCTTGTCGCCATTTGAGCCACAACAAAAGTCAAATATCGATTCGCTGTTTTCAATGACTAAAAAGATTGCTGATAGGGTAATTCCGAGCACAATCCAACAAAAATTTGCCACATAACTGAACCAGTGGAGTGTTTTATGAGAGACCAAATCTATTATTTCTTGCATGTCGACTGTCTCTCGATTTCTTGCTTAACGAACAAAACATGCTTGCATTTAGCTTTTGTATTCTATTTGAAATAATGGAACGAGGAAAATGATTCAGATGTAGTCAACCGTAGCTGCTTGGTATATTTGAATCACAAAAACACTGTTTGTTGAACATTCGCGTCAGGTCAAACTATTCGTATCTCGAATATTCGCTATTATTATTAAAAATGCGCATAAACTGGTCAAAGCCTCCCTGTTTGTGATCAATCATTCAACCTGAAGCATAGGATTTTCTGCTACAGTTGCCCGCGAACAGGCTATTGTGACAGCCACACCTGTGTTGCGAGCTAAACGTACCATTTTTGAAATATTTGTGGCAATTTAAAAATCACCTTAGGAGTGAATCTTTTCGTTTCCAACGGAGAGACGAGATTAAAGCACGTTCCATCCTTACTCGAACGAGGTTTAAACATGCATTTTTCTCCCAAAATCCGACACATTCTCCCACCATGTGATAATTGCGATATCAAAAACGGGGGAAAGCGAGTGAAGAAATTTGGTCAAACTTGGCTGACTCAGGACAGTGCAACTTTTTTAGTATGTATATTAACTGTTACTATTTTTTGCGTATTGTTCCCCGATGAAGATTAGGCCAGGACAGGCTGAGAAAAATGAAAAAGCGAGTTCACTTTATAGGTTAAGACAATGAGTCGGAAGTTAAGACTCTGAGACGGAATGTGGCCAAGAAGCTCCGGGGGATAAGGTTGAAGTTTGTACTTTCCCAGTCTCGCACGTGTACACATGAAAGTAAAAACATGTTCGTTTTCTTCAACAACTTAAGGTTTTATGGTGAGCAAGAGTCAGTCGAGTCCAAACCCGTAAAACTCGGTGTGGTCAGTTTTAATCCTGTACCTAGATCTCACTCTAGCCGTGGGAGATCTGGGTACGAGATAAGGGAAGATTAAAACGTGCCCTTTAAAGTAAATGCAAAAAATACCAAAAATTATTAACTCGTTTCATATTTTCTCTTCTACAATATCTGATGTCTTTTCTTTGTGAAATAATGATAACTGGTTGCAAAGAACTAACTACATTTTCCTCATATAATTCTCTACTTTTTAGACCAGCCACTATAATTGCCAACGAGGCAACCGAGCTAAGAAGCGAGGTTGCCCCGGCGGCAGAATTATAACGCCGCGCAATGTAGGCCAAAACTCTCAAATTCCGCGTAACCCACTAAAATTTGCATTTTTGACCATATTTGGGTGCAAGTAAGACCCATGTTTGGGTGGTGACGTCATGGTCTTGTATTTACAACTCGTGGTCCGAAATTGGGTGATTCAGTGTGCAGCTGTTCGTTGTCTGTTAAAGAGGACCTAACAGGTGAGCAAGCTTTAATACGATTTCTAGTTTGAAAGGTCAATTAGTGCTCTGGTTTGCTTTATAAATTGCGTTTAAAGCAGCAGCTGATCAAGGAATAGGATTTTACGCTCAAATTTTTGTCAGAACCAGCTTGTTTTTTGCAGCTTGATTTACTTTGAGGTAGCGTGTTCGCTTGTCGACTCAGAACCAGGGTTTTCAGTGTTGTCTTTTCCTTTGTGAACTGAATTTTAAGCGGTAGTTGATCAAGGCATAGGGTTATATTCTCAAAACGTTTATCCGAACCAGCGTATTCTTCCCAGGTTAATTTACATTGAGCCAGTCCTCACCTCCCGTGAGGAATGCAACGTACCTGCGGACCTTTTTTTTAGAATTTATTTATGTCTTTCGAGAGATTTTGTCAACCAGCATGTTTTTTTGCTGTTCGATTTACATTGAGACAGCCCAAAACTCCCGTGGGGAATGCATTGAATTTAAGGACCTTTTGTTTTGAAGACTATCATTATGCCTTTCAAGAGACTCTGTTGGGAATGGGATATTTGCTTGCAACACACTGTTGTCTCGATAAACTCGCGCTAAACGGTCCTAAATCACTCACTCACGATGTAAGGTTTTAAACATATATTCTTCACTCACAGCATCCCCGGTTTTATTACAACACAACTCCTGATAATTTTTTAACGAAAGATAAAGCGATTCGTTTTATGTTTCCTTTGATTTGGCAGATTCGATGCCTATCTCTTTCCGGTCACTTAACAATCAAATTCTATATGCGATATGAGGTTTGATTACATATGTAAACACGCGATTTACGACACCCTCCCCCCATTTGCTTCGAGAGAGCAAATGTCCAGAACTTAATCAACAGATAGAAAATCAGTCGTTGAATTTAAGAGTCTCGAACTGCAGTCTGTTGACCAAGCAGCATCATAACATAACAAATATTAGAGTTTTAAAATCAATGTGCCATCTGGCATGAAATGCTCAAAAATATAAAAGTTCACTCGTAATGTTCATAGTTCTTGGGGTTCTTAAATTTATGCATTGTTCAGTTCATTGTTCGTCCTCGTTCATATCCTGGATACGAACTCTGGCTGCTGCTGCGGCATCCCTTTGCGGCCTGTAGATTGGCGCCATTGGATTCAGCGGCTCCGGTGGGTTCTGCATCGGCATGTCACAACTCAGCTCTAGAGGGTACAGATGCTGTATTGGGCGCTCCAGGCGTGACTTTCCAGTTTTCAGCTTTGCCCCACGAATCACGCCATCACGGCCGGTGATTAGGTCTTCTACGACTCCCAACTTCCACTGTGCTCGATTCTTCTCTTCTGATTTGATGATGACGACTTCTCCCTTGGATGGATAGGTCGTGTCTCCCTTGTGCTTCAGCCGGTGTCTCTCTCTCAGTCCGCGGAGGTACTCTCTTGTCCAGCGTGACCATAGTGTATCCTTGCACTTCCTCAAATATTTAGCTCTCTTCCGCAGGTCGTGTTCCTGGACGTGATGAGGTTCTAACTCTGGAAGCATGTTCGGTTGACCATAAAGGAAGGTGCTCGGGGTCAGGATGGGTAGCTGAATGTCTTCCTCTAGGTAGCTCAACGGTCGGTTGTTGAGTGTCACCTCGACGTCAAGCAGGACGTCTTGTAGCTCGTCCCAGGTGAGCGTTCCGTTTCCCACTGTCTTGTAGAAAACTCGCTTCACGAGTCCCACCAGTCTCTCAAATTGTCCACCCCACCAGGGTGCTCTGGACAAGTTGAATTGCCACTTCACGTTTATCTTGGCAAGGAAGTCGTGTAGACGTTCATCCTTCATCACCTTGTTCAGCCATTTTGCTGCTCCCACAAATGTTTTCCCGTTGTCGGAGTATATCTTCTCCGGGCGACCTTTCCTGGCGATGAGACGCTTGAGAGTTCCGAT